CCCTGAAAACTGTAGCAGTGATTGGAGCTTTGGAAGTCATCAATGACAATTTTGTTTAATCTTTTAAAATCTGTCACTTAAAAAAAAAACCTAATGGTTTTCTAATAAAAATAGCGATGAGCGATGACTGTGATTCACAGATGGTTTACTTTTACAGGAGTCAGAATGACATTAACATGTTAATCTCAGATAAGAACACTCTGCCTCTAGGAGTGCATGGGGAGAGGGCTCACTGGGGGAACATTTTAACCTCTCCTTTTCTCTGATTAGGGACAAACATCCTTTGATGTGAAAATGCTGCTAAAATCAAGAATGTAGGTGATCTGAACCTTTGGTCTGATTTGGATGAATCTTAATTTATTGGATTTGACATGGCACACTAAGACCCTGATTATACAGAAACATTCATTTCATAGGAAGAAAAACCAAAAATGACTGATAATTTTCTTCCAGTCAATGTCATTAATAGACATTGTAAATACCTGGAAATTCAGGATTCCTGTGATCTTGTCTGAGTTTCTCTGCTAAAGGAAGATTCTTAGATTTATGTTCTCATTAATCCCCAGCATGAGGGAAAGTAGAGGAGTTTACCAACTAAAGTCAACCGTTTCTTAGGAAGAACTCCAAAATACTACTAACCTGCTGATTTCATTTGTTTTGGGGAGAAGAAACATTGACTACCAACATGGCATCTCTACAAAACGAGGAAAGTTAAACAAGTGCTAAAACTTCCAATGAGAATCTCTAAATATTGCCAATCTACAAATAAATTATGTAGTACAAAATGACATGAAATAAAAGGGTCCATTAGATACCATATGGTATGCCCAAGTATTAAATGACAATTTCTTTTTAAATCATCTGAATGTATTGGCAGCACCATCCCCACCATTTCACAAAGTCCTTAGCCATGTCTTAATGGGATCCTTGTATTGTGAGTTCAGACTTCCACCCCAAACTCAGAAGCTCAGAAGTCCCTCATAACTTACAAAGCCCTTGGCTGTACCTCGACAGGGCAGATTTTCACAGGTACAGCTACACAAAAGTTCACAGGAGCCTGTGGAATAGGCCTGCCCTTCCAACTCCTGCCGTTTCAGGCATCTGCCCAGAGCACGTTTCACCTTCCCTGGTACACCCCCTGTGCTCCACCTTCCCACTCTGCTCCTATCCTGCCTGTGTCCCAACCCTCAGCTCCCAGCTAGAAGTCCTTTTCTCCCCTCCAAGTCCGACCTGGCACGCAGATGTGCCCTATGAAACTTCTGTCCACTTCTCAACCACCCACCCCCAGGTGTTCTGAAAACTCTAGTACTTCCTGAGAAAAATCCACTTCATCTTCTGCACTTACTTCCTGTCTAATTTAGCCTCCATAGCTGAACCAAAAACCGGCTATTTTCTGAAAATTCTCTATCCTGAGATTTCCCTTTTTCTCATTCTCTTTGTCTTAGAGGAGAAGGGACCAGCTGAGTCCTTCCTCCCCAGCCTTTGGCTCCACCATCATGGACCATCTTCACGCCAGTTTCCTTTTCCTTTTATTCCATCCACGATTCTCTCTATCCTCTCCTGCCGTCCCTAGCTTATTTCTGGGTTGCTGATTGACGTCAGGGTCTGACTTGGTTTTTCATTTACCATCATATCTTATTTTCATCCTAGAAGATATCATCTGTCTCTATGACTCATCTTTCACAAGGATTTCACAATTCTTTATCTTCTGTTCTTTTTCTTAAATCTGAATCCATCCTACCCACATCCCTACCACTTGTGCTCTTCAGGAGATATAAACATGTATAATGGCAAACACTCAATGCACAATAATAGCAGAAATAAAGAATTACTTGTAGGGTGTCCGGTAAACACAAATGCAAACTGTCAAAGCCCTACTGGACATGGAGAAGTGCACATCAGAAATGTGCACCTCCAGTAATGGAGGTGAGGTTCGATATCAGTCATAAAGGGTGAACAGGACATGAGGCAGATGTGAAATCTTCCAGGCCTAAATCGTCAGTTGCGTTATCTTGCCCAGCCTTGCCAACTGCCTCCCAAAGCTCAGCCCAGCAATCCATTCTCCAGAAGTTTTCAGAAGGATCTTTACAAAATTCAAAATAAATTTTAAAATCAATTTTTATAAAATTTGGATCTGATCCTCTTTAAATCTCCCAGCATATCCCAATTGCTTAAAAAGAAAATAAATGTCTGTGTTTTTCCTAGAATACCCTTCAGTGATGTGGCCACCAGTCACATGTGGGGCTCCTCCCTCATCACTATACACACAGCTGTACCCCAGATGGTTTGTTATTTTCTGGTTCTTGCCTTTCACAGGGTAGTTTCTCTGTGTCTCATTCATCTTCTCCCACCTTTCCAAGATGCCCTGGAAAAACCCTGCTTATCCCTCAAACCCAAATCAAATGGCTTCTCCGTGAATCCTACCTGATCACATCATGCTTGCTGTGTTCCTCGGACATAGCTCTGTCATTGCTCTGAGCATTATTCCGGTATTATTGCCATAATTTGCTCACTACTGACCTTCCCCAGTAAATTATGATTCCTGGAGAACAGGAACCTCCTTCGTATCTTCCAAAATCTAGTGCAATGCTTGGGATAAATCTACTTTGGTTTTCTGAATGGCTGTCAGAAATGCTATAAGAGACTATGAGCATCTTGTCCAATGCCCTCCCTACCCAGGGTCTCCAGTGACCTGGGGAATGAAAGTAGAATCCTGCCAGGCGCGGTGGCTCACGCCTGTAATCCTAGCACTCTGGGAGGCCGAGGCGGGTGGATCGCTCAAGGTCAGGAGTTCAAGACCAGCCTGAACAAGAGTGAGACCCCATCTCTACTAAAAAATAGAAAGAAATGATCTGGACAACTAAAAATATACATATATAGAAAAATTAGCCGGGCATGGTGGCACATGCCTGTAGTCCCAGCTACTCGGGAGGCTGAGGCAGAAGGATCACTTGAGCCCAGGAGTGTGAGGTTGCTGTGAGCTAGGCTAATGCCATGAAACTCACTCTAGCCAGGGCAACAGAGTGAGGCTCTGTCTCAAAAAAAAAAAAAAAAAAAAAAAGAAAGTAGCATCCTGTTCCCCTATTTCCATCCCACAGGTCTTTCAGCCATGTTGTTCTCTCTGCATACATTAATTTCCCTTTGATCATGATTGATTCCCCTCATTGTGGACTATTTCTACCATCATTCTTCTGAAGTCTTGTTTTGGAACCCAGGTTTGTATGAAATTTGCTTTTGGAATTTAGCTTCCCACAGAGAGTCACATCCCACAATCAGTGATGAACAGAGAGGTGACATGCTCCCTCCTTCCCAGTGCCTGTCTCACAGATTTGTTCTGCAGAGCTCACAGACAGGACCAACTGTTCTTCCTGTCGGCTGCCAAAATAAGTCAGCAGTTGGGAAGGGGGAAAAAAAGACTATGAATTATGGAAAATAACTAGGAAGAGAGAATGGCAATAAATGAAAAAAGAAAGTAACAAGTCCCAGTAACCACCTACCCATGTGACTGTCTCAAATTTCAACCAACTAAAAGAAAACAAAATGAAGAAGAACATCTAGTCAACCAGGGGTCTCGGAAACAGACCGGCAGTTGAGAGCTTTCCCCGGTGGATCTAATTAATTGGCCTGACTGCCGTAATACAAGGTCTGGGTCACAATCTCCAGCAAAACTGTGTGTTTCATTAAGACCACAGATCATGGATGCAAAGAGTTAGGTGAAAGCGGGGAAGTGACGAAGTGTGTTTGGAATAAATTCGGTTTTCATGTGAAAAGGTTCATGAAGCATCTCGGGCCAAGCGCTGTGAAGACAAGCCTGACCTATAAACCTTCCAGTAGCTAATGGCGTGTGCGTACATGCCAGCTCTGGTGTCACTGTGATATATGGCATAGGCCGTGGGGTGTCAGCATTTTAATGTCCCCAGATCACGCTTGGGAGCACATGTGTCAGTCTTCTCACTTTAATGGTGTTTATCTCCAATGCTAAGAATATGATCATGAACTTATCACAGCAGTATTTTCCCTTTATGTAACAGAATATCACCTCAGAGCTTCCTCGGCACCTCACGTTAGGATCTGCCAGGCTCTTCTGCGATTATTTATGTCTGTTTCCCCTAAGAGACTACGGAGCACTCACTATGTGAGGGGTGTTCCTCACACCTACCACAGTTCTGTGAATTCTTAGAAAATAAGCACAACACACAAGAAAATGATTTTAAAAGTGTATGAATGTGGCTTATCATTATGTGTTTTTAAGAATTTTCTTTGGCAGCTGTCTTCATCAGTAGTAGCGCGTTTGGACAAGTTTGCATGCCAGTAGAGCTTTTCGTGGAAACTGATTTGGTGTCATGCTAAAATTTCTTTTTAAAAATTCTCTAGAAGCATGTTCATTGCATAACTACTGTTTGTGCAAACATCTAGAAGAATGTTGCTCACAGAGGTCTTTCTTGAGACTTTTTTTTTATTTTTGTGCTGAAGTTCTATAATTGCAGTGGTATAAACATGGTATAGTGAAAAAGTAATTGAAATTAAGCGATTTTATATGTCTGCTTTATGTTTTGTTTTGGTTGTTGTGTATGTGTGTTTTCCTTTATGGAAACTTAATCTCCCTGCTTTGTGTGGTGGGAAGAAAAGGATCACAGAGGAAAGAGAAGGGTGTAGCTCTGGAATGTGAGAATTCATTCATGAGGATGGTTTTATCTTCTGATAGAGTCAAGGCCAATGTTTTTCTCTTGCACTGCTTGGTGCAACCACCACATCAGTAATGTGTAGGCATTTGCAAACATTCTGGTGACAATATGTACACACAGCAGATGTACTTATTAGAACAAAACGTTTGGGATTTTGACTGAATGTAATAGTGTTAAAAGTCAGGCAGATGTAATTAATTTTGTTGGTTTGTTCCTTCTAATCCTCTGCTGGAAAAATCTCTTGTCTGATTATTTTTCCATCATTATTTTGGCATCTTCATGCTGTTAAATGTTTCCCTGCTGTTTGCATTTTAGATGGGAGTCCGAAAAGTGTTTCTAAAATACTGGCATGCTGACCAGCTCAATGAATTGTGTCTACAGTTGCAGAGAAAAATTATAACCTGCCAAAAAGGTAACAGTTATACACAGACATTCCTGAACTTCTTTGAGTTATAAAGTACAAAATTATTTAGCACACCCCCAAGTTGAAATGTCAATGGGATCTGCATCATAGTGGACCACTCTATCCATTCCTGGATGTCACATTCTGGCGATAGGTTTTGGGTGGTCAGGAAGCATTGTGGCTTAGTTTTCTACGTACCTGTCCCTAAATCAGCATGTGTAGACATTGCTCATACTTTATTTGGTAGTTATTTCATATGAAGTTTTTATTAAATTTCCATGTAAATCACAGTTTGGAAAAGGGAATATACATATCTCATTGTTCATTCATTCCTTACCTTGCAAATATTCAGGCCTGTTGATCCTTTCAAGAAACACAGGACAATAAGAAGGTACCTTTTAATCTGCAGCAGAAAAACTCCCCATCTGGTGTTGAGGTCCAGCTATTCCTATGTTGTTTCAGTAGTGCCACTGGTTTGCCCAAGTTTGGAGAAGTCAAACAAGCCAATTAACCAAATAACATTTTCTATAATGCTACATATGCCTTGGAAAAAACCTTGACTTTATGTTTCCTGGATGAAGTGATGATAATACTTGGAGTCCTGACTTTGATAGCTGACAGTATCTATTTCACTTTAACTTCGGGAGAGATTCCATTCAGAATTTCTTTTTCCTATCAAAACTCAAGTGGCTATTTAAATGGGTATATTTATAAAAACACAATTATGTTTCACATAACATGTATAGGCTTGACAGATTTTTTTACTTTTAATATGCTTACTCATTTAATTGTAATATATATTTGTACATAAATATATATATATGTCTTAAAGGAAGGTAAAAGAGGGAGAAATTAATCTATATGCTAGCTTTTGGTGGGTCTTATAATGACCGTAGTTCTCTGGTATATTTGAAATTGTTAATTAACCTGGAACCTGATAGGGTGCAGAAATTAGTTTTATTCTGTGCAAGCCTCTGTCCATCTTTCCTGCAGGACTCGTGTGGGCATGCCTCCGTGGGAATCTCCAGCGGGTCCCATCATTTTCTAATAATAAAAAGTCCTGCTATGTGCTAGTCCCTCAAATAGCCTCAGTTCAGAATTTAACACGTCCGGTTGAAGTAATGATCAAAAATTAGAACCCCATTCCGAGTCAGACCATCCTTCCTGGCTGTTTCTGGCCTGTTCCCTGGGGAACATCCCGTGGGGAAGTGGGCAAGGTACTGATCCTTACATACTCAGGGCGCTGCGGATCCTCCAGGGTTAACAAGCAGGAGCAGAAGGCGGGGCGGAGGACAGGCCTTCTGGTGGCACCAGTGGGCTTTGGCGCTGGTCTCCTCTGGCTGAGAGGACTTACATGGCTCTCACATATCTGGGAGCATGTCAGTGACTCCCTTCTCTAAATGCCAACATTTCTTCTTTGGCCAGTCCTTGTAAACCTCCCTCCGCCCCTGGTCACCCTGTGGACCCTCTGTCAGGGGCTCGTTGCTCTCTCAGTAGCCATCTCTTTTTTGAAAACTACATCTAGTGCCCATGAAACAAACTCTGGGATCACTTCCTGGATGCAGCTTCTCCCCATAGAGCCTTCATCCTACTCAGGGGGCTCAGCTCTGGCCTCTGAGACCTCACAGTCCAGGGTGGCTGCCAGACTTCAGGAGCCACATGTCAAGCTCTCTGGGTGATCTCCTGAAGCCCCTTTCCCTGGGCTGGGGTGGGAGGAGCCTTGGGTGAGGAGTGGCCAACTCCCACCTCTTGGGAAAGAATGCTTCTCTCTGGCTATGATAATCTGGCCTACCTACCTTCAGCCTTCGGCGCAGGGGAGAGGCTGGGGCCACAGGTCTATTCCAGCCCTCCTCCTCTGCAACTTCTATTTGTGTGGCCAGCCCCACCACAACAGAGGTGTCACCTGAGCACCAGCAGCACGTAGGAGCTGATTAGAAATGCAGAGTCCCAGGCCCCACCCAGGACCTACTGAATCCTCAGCTCAAATGGGGACAAGGAGAGTCTCATTTAATATAATGCTATATATGGATAGAACAAAGTATCAGATTCTCCTGGAAATTTTCCTTAAATGTAATTAGAAGAATTTGTATGCTGTCTTCCATCAGGGGTGTGCAGTAGACATTTCTCTTCTATTTAACAAAGATTAAGTTGCTGTACTCCACTGGCCTGGAACAGAAAAAAAAATGAATAGCACTCTAATTTGCTTTTCACCTTTCTAAAGATAAAAATTAAGAATGGTCTAAAAAAATGGCATCGAGATAAAAAGCATAATTTCATAGTGCACAAATGAAATAATGGATATAAGAGCATTTAAAAAATTATAGGCTCTTAAAAGTAAAGCATTAGTTATTGGTTTTTATTTTTACATCTCTTAGAACCATTCCCTCAATGCTTCCTGCTAATATTAAATTTACTCAAAATTTATGTAATCTGGAGTCATTACCAGTTTTTTAGAGTGCTATTTTTTTTTCTTTATAAATGTCCAGAGAAAAGAAAACTGTAACTTTTAGTTTTAAATGTAATCATTTTAATTTCAAATTATTCCTACCAGAAGTGTCCTCTCTGACTATACGTGTCCCTTTTATCCTGGATGAAAATCTCTCTGAATTAAGACCTTGTGTGGCTGGTGTCACAGAAGCAATCTTTGGAAATTGTCAGAAAGACAATAAATACCAATATCCATTTGTGGCAAATTTATTTTTTATTAGTTGTCGCTTATTAAAGATACTGATTTTTAGCAACTGGTATAACATTTTTAAAGAATTTTAAAAGGCTGTTAGTATGAATTGTGAGAAAACGGAGTCCTCTGGATGCGGGACAATAGATTCTCGGGTGGATGCGAGCCCAGTGAGTGGCTTTGCCGTAGTAGGAGGTCAGAGGAAGCCTGGCATATACACATTAATCTCCTCTTTATTCCAAGAGATTAAACATCTTGAATATACTCTCATCTTCACCCTCCAAAAGTCAGTGTCTCAATTTTTGTAACGTAACAAGAAAGTGCAAGCGAACAGGCCGATTTAAGGTCTCTGCTCCCTTCTCTCTCAGCGCCTGTCACGTGGTTCGTACTTCAACACTTTGTTCCACACTTTAGATTCCTGGTAGTCTGACTGTACCTTGTACTGTTCAATTTTTTTTCCTTTAGATCATTTCAGCATAACTTTTTTACAGTTATCTTAATGTAACTGCTTTCTAGTGTAACTGAACATTTAGTATTGCCATCTGGGGAAAAAAAGGCCTTAAGCATTTTAGATATCTACGTATTATTTTCCTCTGAAGCCATAATTGTAGAAAGTTGTGTTCAGCTTTCTGCTATCTAATCAAGTGTAGGTATCAAAGTGGATATCACACATAACCAACCTATTTGTTATTTTATAGCTATGGAGTATTTTAAAGCACTTAATGTTTTATAGGCTTTTCCCTTCCCCAAGGACGAGAATAAAGTGTCTTTGCTGCATGCATTGACATGCATTTTCTCTGAAATTATAAATCTTCTATAATTGTAACAACTCCTTCTAATCTTGGATACTTAGAATTGGAAGAGATGGCATCACAGAGTTTCAAAGACTCGAATCAGAATTCCCCCCACAACACCTGTGCACCTCACCCGTCCACTCTACCCGTGAGAGGAGGCCACTGTGCTCACGTTGCACATGCCCAGGGATTGCACACCAACTCCCTTTCTCATAAGGCAGCCCGATCCACTGCTGATTGCTGGAAAGTTGTTTCTAGTATTGATTGCACATATGTTTCCCTCTGACTTTCCTGGTTGTTGATCTGCCCCAGGAAAGCTAAAATCATGTCTGTACAACCGCAGGCTAAGGGAATACCATTTGGCCTCGTAAGCACAGAGGGGATATGAACCCTGGCTCTGCCATCCATGGGTTGTGTTTACGTGGAGCAGTTTTCTTGGTGTCACTAAGAAAATTACTATTGTGTCTAAAATGAAGATAATGACATATATTATCATTGAGTTTCAGCATTAAATGATATAATGGAGTGTCTGACACATAGAAGTACTTTTAAATGGTGGTCTTTTTATTTTCAATTCTTACGTGTTACTGACATATTAGTGACTTCAAAGAGTTTTCACTCACTTGTTTTCTCCAATTCTTACACATATTTCTAGCCCTTCTTTCCTAGAGAGGAGGGAGAATGTTTTATATTTCCACTGCATCTCTTTCCAGAGTCTTATACGTAGTGTTAATTTCTCCAGGAATGAAAGCAGAGTCTTAGAAATAATAATATATGCATGATATTTTCAAAGAACTCCACAAGACTTAGATGTTTATGTAAGAATCTGATACCATGAAAGATGATCAGTGCATCCCAAAATGGTCCAGTTGAAGCCACACCCCAAAATTCTCTAGGGCTTGGACCTAGTTCTTTCTCACTGATTTAACTGCCACCCATCAGTGTCCAGCTTGTAATACCAAAACAGTGAAGGACCCTTTATCATAAACATTACCTGCAGGACCTATTCAGGTCAAAGATTTTTGCCTTTACGTTATCATTACTGAATTAAGATATCTTTTTTAATACAAGAGATTAGAATGTTTTAGTACATTCTTATTCTGGGTTGACTGTGTGTTATTTTATAGCTGCTCATAGATAAAGATATTGTGGCTTTTGTTTGTGCATGTCTGGGTTTTTCCCTTTTGTTCTGTTCACTGACCCATGATTGTGTTTTTTGATGAAAGTTATCAGAGGATTTTTAGCACGCCAGCACTTGCTTCAGAAGATGAGCATCAAACAGCAAGAGGTCACTTCCATCAATAGCTTTCTGCAGCACACAGAGGACATGGGGCTGAGGACCTACGATGCCCTGGTCATCCAGAATGCTTCAGACATTGCCCGGGAAAATGACAGGCTCCGTAATGAAATGAACATTACCTACCATAAAGAGAAGTTAGAGGGCAGGAACAAGCAAGAGGAAGGAACCAAAAGGTAAAGGCAGAGAGCATGCAACTTTAATTACCATCGTGATTGATTTGATGGAGTCATGAAAATTCTAATAACCCTTAATGCAAAGTTCAATCAAATATGACAGTAGTTACAAGAATAGGCATGCATGATTTGTTATTTGAAAGCCCCTAGCAATCCAAACAGATGCTTTCCCTGTCCTTCCTTTTTATGAGTTAGATGTTATTATGTGATAGTTTACTCATATGAAATAATCATTGCTTTACCTACAATGCTTGGGTCACTTAACTATCTCAACATACTCAAAGTTTAAGCATCTACTATTTCTGTATTAGCAAAAACTTATAGCTGGGCCCCGGTCATATTTATACAGGTGTCATGTATATAAGGCTGGCTTATAGAAACTTCTGGATATCTGACCAAAAAAATTGAGACTCCACTCTGAAAATATGAGAGTGGTGAACTCAATAAGTGGATTGTATGTATTATATTTCCCTGTGTAAACTGTCACATTTTCCTTGCCAATAAGGAAAGCTTTGGGAAAAGTTTTTTTATTTAAAAGTTCATTTTAGATGCTGAGCTTGACATATTATAGAAACACTCAGACAACCTGGTCCTTCTCCATTTTCTCAGCTTCCCTCTCCACGAATGAGGGAGACAGCTATAACCACAGTACCCTTCGCAGGGATGGCAGGAAACTTGTTCCTTTGGATCTTAATTCATTGTCAGGGAGATGTTCTTTTTTTTTTTTCCATAGGAACTTGGCAATATCTTGTTGTTTCTCACTAAAAATGATGTCCCTTTGCCATTTCTGCCTATGTCAAATAATTTTTTATTAAAGTGGAAATGGCAATGTGTATCTCACTAATTAGCTTCAAATATCTCAGTGATTAAATACTGAAAAAAATTCCTTTGTACAAAAAAACTGTAATTAAACATTACAGGGAAAACAAATTATCCACTGAGTGCCATGCTTTCATCTTCAGCTATTTCATTTTCTACATGGGCGGCTGACTCTGCCTTGGGTAGACTCTAGGCCTGTTTGTGTTCTGCCACAGGAAGATATAATTATAAAAACAAATGCTCGGAAACTCCTTGTAAAATGAATGTATTGGCATCTTGCTAGTACATGATTACGTTGACATGTGAGGCCAGAAGGAATTTTTGTAAACCAGATAACTATTAATTTTATATGACTCCCAGAATAATATTTATTATTTTCTCTGCTGGAACTAAACAGCCACCCCAGTTTCTCAATTTGATTATGTATGTATTTGCCTGATATAAAATTAAGTGAAGAAGTATCTGTCTGTTTATTTATTGAATAGCAGCAGTTCACTTGGCACTGGGCAACCCTGTGGAGCAATGGAGGAAAAATAATAGTTCTGCACATAATTAAATAATTTCTTGTGGAATTTAAATGACGAGGGGGCAAGAAACACTGAAATATAAATATGTGATAGTTTTAAGTAGACTTGGTACTCCTTTTGCAAGGGGAAATGGTGATGAACTCCCAGCATTTGATGCATCAGTAACTCTGTATTAAGATGGATTTCCCAGAAATTATCATTCAGATTGAAATTCTGGTTTTTTGATTTGCTTAATAATCAGAGTGTGAAAAATTCATTCAGTGAATGCCTGATAGAAAATGTGAAGCCCCTTAAGTAGTGTTGCATTTGTGTGAGAATTTGAAAAACTAATCATGATGAATATCCAATGTGCTCGTGTGCTTTCATCATGGAGCAGAAGCCCAAGGATGGGGCAGCTTTCTCTGGATGTGGCGGTCACCAGAGTGCTGCACACACATCCTCCAGCCACAGCGGGAAAGGCTGCTTGCCAAAAAGCCATCATTATGTCTGCTTGAGCAGGTTCATTGTTATCTGAATAATGCATCTGGACCTCTCTGGTGTGGTGCTGTTTGTGTTTTGTTTCCCCCTAAGAACTGAAGACAAGGGTGGACCCAGGAATTTCCATTCCAGCTCCATCGTGGTCTCCACAGCAGTGGACAGCCTGGGCCAGGCGCGCGGTGGCCCGTCCATCTGGTCTCCTTCGCTGCACTCGGTGTTCAGCATGGATGACAGCAGCAGCCTCCCGTCACCACGGAAACAGCCTCCACCCAAGCCAAAGAGGGACCCCAACACCCGGCTGAGCGCCTCCTATGAGGCCGTGAGTGCCTGCCTCTCGGCAGCCAAGGAAGCAGCAAATGAAGGTGAGCCCAAGGGGAAGGAGAAAGCGTTAGGGTTCACTGAGGCTCTGACTTCTGGTCTTGGAGTGCCTCATAGCGGTAGTGTGGCCCTAATGTGTTTTAGTAGAAATAAATCCAATTGTTGGCTTGCCAGCGGCTCTTTAATCATTAAATACAAATCATATTCATTCAAATCTCTAAGCTTCTTAGGGAAAATCTACTTAAATATCATTTTCTTAACCTCCATATCCACCTCTGCATCGAATGAACAGCCTCGAACCAATTCAGAAAGTCAGTTGCTATTCCCTGTAAATTTTCACCAATTAGAAGGTTAAAAAAATTCATCAAGCTTTCCTGTTATCACACTCTAATTAAAAATTAAGCCTGCTTTATCATGTGGTAAGTGAAACAGTCCACACAGAGGAGAATCACTGCACAAGAAAATTGAGTTAGCAAAACTTTGGGGAGTAGATAACAAAAGTTTCTATGCAATGATGGTCTAGACATATGGATGCACAAAAGGGAAAAATCCCAGTTTATCTTAATCAAATCTCTCATAGATTAGTATATGCAACAATTATTGCTTAATTATTAATTTTTAGACTTGTGAGAAATAGAGGAAGTGCTTTTAGCAGAACATTCACAAGTGTAACAGATTGTATTGGTCACCTACAGATTGTTAGTCTCTCTTCTAGGCAATGTATGTCTTCCCTCATGGAGTTTCCATTCTAGTGGGGAAAGACAGATGGTAAACACAATAAAAAGGTAAAAGGGTTTTAGAAGTAGATTGTCACTACAGGGAGATATAAATAGGTCCAGGAGCAGTAGTGCAGGGTGAAGGAGGTGAAATTCTAAATGAAACAGCTGAGTAGATCTCACTAGAAAATATCTGAGCACAGGATGGAACACAGATCCTTCAGTATATCAATGAACCAAAAATACAAAAACACAGCAAAACAATAAGCTCAACTTTGGGAAAACATGACTGACATCAAGAAGTTGATGGAAGATCATGGGACAGAAGCTTCAAGTGATAAGTCCATCCTATCTTTCTTTTCAAATTTATTTTTAATTGACATAAAATTGTATGATTTCTATCATGTACAATAAGATGTTTTGAAGTATATATGGAATGATCAAATCTAGCTTATTAACAAATGCATTGCCTCACTCGGTTATCATTTTTGTGATGAGAGCACTTATCCACTCTCTTAAGCATTTTTCAAGGATACAATATGTTGTCACTAACTGCAGTCACTATGCTGTACAATCTTCAAAATGCTTTCATTAGTGGCTTTAAGAAAGAAAAGATCTTCAGGAGAATTTTTACTAAAAACAAGTTACTGTCTTAATGTATGAGGCATGTTACAATAATCTTAGATAAAGATGTAGGAGAATTCATGAGACTTTGGGGGGAGAGTCCAAGTGTATGCTCTTAGAGTCCTAGTGATAAGAACAACATAGAAAGCTGGAAATGAGATCATCCATGGGAAAGTCTTCAAGGTAGATATCAACGTGGACGTAGATTTAAGTTAGAACAGGACCTCCAAAGGGCCAAACCTTTGGACCAAAGAAAGATGTTCTCCCAGCGTACCATACATACCAGAAAAAGCTGATGCTAAACAAATCGTCAGTGCCTCCCTGAGAAAGTGGAATGAGTCACATTTCCACTGTTATTACTTTCAGAGCCCAATTGTGGATTTATGATGCAGATCTCAAAAAGGTGTGATGGGAATAGGAAGAAAGGTTTTTTGGGCAGCTTTCATGAGGAATACAGTGTCCAAAATGCTAAGACCTATGAGAAAGGGAGGATGGGAAATAAAGACTCCAGATAGTCTCAGACATTGAGAAAAAGTAATATAAAATAAGACTGAAAATCACAGTATATACAAAATTTGCACAGATTTCAACACTGCAAACAGATTCTATAATTTTGGATAAGTAGGCCTTAGAATAACTTGTAAAGTCTAGAAAAAGCTTATCATTTGTGTGGACATTAAAAGACCACTGCCAGCCAGGTGTGGTGGCTCACACCTGTCTGTAATCCTAGCACACTGGAAGGCTGAGGCAGGAGGATTGCTTAAGCCCAGGAGTGTGAGGTTGCAGTGAGCTATGATGACACCACCGCGCTCTAGTCCTGGCAACAAAGTGAGACCTTGTCTCAAAAAAATAAAAAATAAATAAAAGACCACTTCATTGGAGTTGAAGTTTTGGAGTAATCAGGTACCAATTAGTCACACAGTTATAAAAGGAGATAAAATAGTGAAGAAGAGCTTGAGCTCAGAATGGATCTTGAGCTCTCTCACGGGGCAACAATAACAAAAAAAGTCAATTAAAAAAAAGTTACTCAGGAACCATAGGAGATGAAAAATATATATACATATATGAAAGCAAAACAAAAAAAATTAATAAAGAGGAAGCAAGATCACAGGTGTAAAACTCTTTAAATTCCTTACGACTATTTAAAAGACATCATATGATATCATTAGACCTGCAAGATTTTTAGGTAAAATTTAGTTCCTTGGAACTTAATTTTGGCTCGCATGTGACTATAAGGTACTTAGAGAGGTTTCCTCTGATGAGTCCCACCCCACTGAGCACATCTTTTGGAAGCTTGTAGAAGTGTATAAATCATTTCCTGTTTATAATTTACACTATTTCTTCTTTCTCACAACGTATAATTCCTCAATCTCATTACTTTACAGCCACTACAACAAAAAGAAAATCTTTGATCTCCTGCAGCTAAGAGATGTAATCTACATTATGGGATATGCTCTAAATACTGCATATTTTTAAGAATAAGATAATGAAACTGCTTGATCTGCGTGAGCATGTGGCTGGTTAGTTTTTATAGCATTAGAGAGTCAGAGAGGGCCAACAGAGAGGCTTTGTCACTCAGTCTGCTATTGGTCTGGATTTCTAACCCACGATTGCCAAGGTAGCTACAACCCTGTGTGATAAACCGGCTGTCTGCAGGGGCTCTGGTCCCTTTATGCCACTGTGTCAGGAGCTGAGTAGGATGACAATGAAAGTGATCACAGCATCTTAGACATCTCCCTCAGGCCTACACACATATAGTACAATCTAAGTCTTTGTTGTTCATTACAGTAGCCACTAGCCACAAGTGGCCATTTAAATTTTAAAATAATCAAAATTATTAAATAAATGCAATTAAAAATTCAGTTCCTTAGTCATTAGTCACATTCCAAGGACTCAGTACTCAATAGCTGCAGGTGTAGAATTTTCCATTAACACAGAAAGTTGTGTTAGACAGCTCTGATTCTAAATGCTTCATGTTTTTACTGAGTGACAATATTGAATTTTTTGCACCTAGTAACATATCACAAAAATATCCTCCTTTCTGTCAAAAGATAGGAAGGACATTTGATCACTGTTGAAAATGCTTTGGGAACCTTGGTTTCCCCAGAGCAGGGACTACAACGGATGTCAGTGTATTATCGGTGCCATTCCTTCTGGCGTGTTAGAAAATCAATTTCAAGTTCTTTTCCTTTACAAATAAAGCTGCTAATCAATTCAGAAGGTGACAGAGTGAAAGGAGATCTGATTGTCTGATTGGAGAATGAGGGCCAAGGACTACAGAATAACCAATAATGAGGTCACATTAAAGTTGCCTTGGTGTTTAGTCTTGTTCTTGTTAGCACATGCCTTTTCCTAGAGGTCCTCACCCAATAAAAATGGTCGTAGTAAGAAAAGGCAGTGTAAAGGGCTCATTTTTTTTCACTACATTTGTGCTTGAAAAGCATGAAACAATTTTACAGGCCAATAAATTTTAACGCTTCTTTGAAAACTATTAACAAGCTATAGACGACTGTTTAAAAGCACTACGGTTAAAAAGTCTGCGGTTGCTCTTTGCAAATGGTGGCCCAGAAAGGAAGACAAGGTCTCACTTCACTCTCTCTTTGCCAGGATCTCCCAGCCAGGATGCCCTTTTGGAGAGTTCATTCCCTATTCACAAGGTGCAGCCTTTCTCCCAAACACGGTTACAATTCTCACAGAATTGTCTCCTGACTTGAAGTTAAGTATAAGCCTGCATTTCATGCGTGCGACCTTGAAGAAGTGGTGCAATCTTTCCAAGCCCATGAGTATCAAGGGGCAGCAACAGCCAAATGCACAGCAAGGGCTATTTGCAGGAAGTAAAGAAGGTGAGGTTTGTAAACCCTAGTGCCTGGGACAAAGCAAGTGCTCAGCAAAGCTACATAGCTAGTTATATATGCCTGTGGTTTAGGAAACCTTTGAAGATCAGTTTCCTCATCTGTGAAATGGGTACAAATCCTCACATGTGGTATTTTTGGGGATTAAATAATGAGGTAGGTGGTGCAGTACCTGGCTCAGAGAAACATCTGCTCCGGGTGAAATTGCAAAAGCAAGTTTTCTGGGGTCGCGCTAGTCTCCACCACTGGCCATTCTGTGCTGACACTTCCACACTCACCCCTCCTTCAGACCCAGCAGTCTGTGACCTTGGAAATCATACCTTAACGAACTCATAATTTAAAAAATTTGCTGTACGACTCTATTCTCCACAAAACACAGTTTGTATGTGTAGATAGAATAATGGTTCAGCTCTGTGACTTAATTTGGAAAAAGCTTCATTTCTTTTTTTTTTCTTTTTGTTACTGTCTTGTTTGTATCTTTATTCTAGAACAGCACTTGTCACATAGTAAGCACTCAATAAATTCTTATTGAATGAATAAAAAAGTTACAGAAATATATTTCTCTGTGCTCCTTTCATTCAAACAGAATTTGCTTCTTATCAGTGAATCAAAGGAGCACAATTTGGCAAGGTTCAAAATGTATCCTTGAGATGTGTCAGACTTGGTTTGTCAGCATATTTTTAACAGAAGCTCTCATACGATATTTTTTTCTATTACCTGAAAATTGATAGAAATTAGGTCTTCCATGAATGCTCTTCTGAGAAATGTGTTTCTGGAAATAACAGGAGAACATGATTGCATGGTTCACCACCTATGACGCAGTTGTTCATTCAGCAAATACTAATTAAGTGT